GAAGTCAAACTAGCTTAGGCCGCTCCTACTAGCACTCTGTCTACGATATGGTTGATTCTTAACCTGTTTTGGAAATAGTATTATGAATAAGAAACACCATAGTTTTTTCAACACAATTATCAAATTGTATCAAAAAAATGTAAACAACAAAAATACCTAAGAATATTTGAGGACAACGAATTCTGAACATTCTGTTAGTTTATTTTTATAGTTCTTAATAATTAAAATTAATCGACTTTAATAGGAATAATGGCAATATCATATATTGTATACAGGTGTATATTGAAATTATTTATTGCAATATATATCAGTGTTTCGTATGGTGGTTATAGAGAACCGAAGACCCTTACTGGAAACGAGGCATTCCATATTACTTCTCAAGAGTCACAACGCATCTGCATTTTGATTCTTAAACGAGGATAAATGTAGATGTCCATGGGCCACAGCATCCACTTACCATCAGGTGGACTGTATGCTCGTTTGTCACCTTTATTCTATATAAAAAAGTTATTCAACTGGTTTTTAATTTACCTCTATTGAAAGACCACATAACGTCCTTAGCCATGAGATAAGTAGACAATGAATATAAAGTAACCATTTGACATTCAATAATTATTAAATTTCTTGACCTTAAAATTGTTTAACTAATGAGGACGATTCTTAGAGAAATTACATAAGACGATTTATATTATATTGGCATTATGATATTATTATAAATATATAAAAAAATGTTATAAACTTTTATTTAAATGTATTATTTTCTCTATATATAATCTTTTTAATTAAAATTACCTAATATTAAAAATAAAAACTGATGTATGTAAACTTATTCAAATAAATAAATAATAATTAACGATGAATGAATACAATGTCAATGGCTTCAAAAATCACTTTTGGACGTGACATTAGTTGAAACACTGGAAAAGGAAATGATGCATTTAATAATCTTTGGTAATTAGTCTAAGTCCGATATCTGTAATGTTCTTCACTTAAATTAAATACACTTGAATTAATTAATAAAAGTTCTTAATTAAATCATTTGTGTAATTTTGTAGTTGAACATTTTAATTGTAAATTCAATTCCATCAGATACGCTGTCAAATCTACATATTTCAAAAAATTCTATTTTGTATAAGACTTAAAAAACCGCTTGGAAAAAAAACTGCTTGGTCAGTTATGTTACACTGAATAGTGAATAAAGTTTTAAATGGTATGACTAATGTAATCTTAGTTTTATTATGGTATTCGTGTTCAACATTGTAGTCTAGGTGTTACTTAAAAGGCATTTTGCAGTTGCCAGTAGATAATAAAGAATGTAAGGCAGTGTTGCGTAGTGTGCCGATGGAATGGCGGGAGGCTGGAGGACGCGAGAGGGGAGCGGCCAGCTGGCGGCCGTCAACAGTGAAAGTGAGACTGAGTCGGTCTGCACTTATACCACTTTGAGCTCAAGACTACGCTTACGCAAATGTATATATTCTAAAACTTGTAAATTATTTTATTTTGATATTACCTTAAAGCAAATGATGATCACAATGTCTTTAAAAATATGTGGAACGTAATCGTATTGCTAACATGTTTATACTTTATTATAAATAATTAATCAATTAATTCAATATTACTGAAGAATTATAACATGAAAGTATTCGCAATTAGCTGTATATTGACAGTGTAAGAATATCCACTACCCCATATTGTCCCGGAAGTGTCGTAAGAGGCGACAGAGGGAAACTGAAACAGGAAATGGGCAGTAACATCTTTCTGATAACACCTCCAAATAATAAAATTACTGCGACAGCCAACTCGTCTGTCAATCTTGGCAACTATGGCATAATCCCATCTATGAGGAAATGTAATGAATGAACGAAATTCAAAATAACAAATGTACTAATAAATGTAATCTACAATATAGCCGTAATAAACCGTGGTAGCTCAGGGGTGATGAATAAAAACACCGCGAGGAAACCTGCATTTTTGAGAAATAAAAAGGATTTCTAAGACATGTAAAGTCGGACAATACGCATTAGAGCAGCGCTGTAGACACTTCTTTGCTTTAAAATTCTCTCAGAAATAAGACAAGACCAGTGCCAAGGTACTCCTTGGCACGTCTCACTGGACGTATATAGCCTGTAACTACCATACTCTTCAGACCGATCACAGCGAGTAATGCTTGTTGGATGTAGAATAGGTAATTCAAAAAAAAATAAGTTTAGTTAAGGTAAAAAAATATTGATATTTTTTTAATTTAACCACTGCACTGGTTCGGAAAAGAACCTCTGACCTGGGAAGAATCAGCAAGAATCCCAGCGTAACAATTTTTTCAAAGCAAATTATACAATAAGAATGGTTGTACAAACTATTTACAAAATTTATTTTAGAAACTGCTTGGAAGCGACCACCTCATTCTTAGGGGTTATTATCAACCATGTACTCATTTATATTATAATAACCCTTATTATACAGCCTTTTTTAATAGAATATTTAATCATATTAATAGAGAGACCTTATATATTCTATAATATTTTCAATAAAATGCAAAGTGTAACTTATCATAATCACGACGATATGTGCGTTTTGTTGAAGGAAATTAAAAGTGCCTACTTTACATTACGTAGCGGATTTCCTTTATCAGAGAATATCCGTCTGCCACTAACATATATCATGTAGAAAGTATATGTAATTTTGCCACTTATATCCTTAAAAAATAAGTAAATAAAACACAACATTGTTGAGAAGACAGTTTGAGCTATGGGTTATCATTGACATTTGTAGTTTAGCGAAACTTAGGTGATAACTTATCACATAAGTGTTGCTAAACTACTAATGTTAAGTCTTTTTTGTAACAATAATTTTAGATATAGTATCATAAAGCTCACGACCACACATTTTATGATTTACCTAAAACGACATAGTGTATAATAATTCAAGCCACGATTGTGAACGTCTTGTTGTCTCATACCCAAATGCGCTATAAAGGTATGTGTAGTCCAGCAAGTCGCCGCCTCGGACCTGAGTCGCTGACCTTGCGGCCATCGACGTCGCACAGCCCTATACGCCTACGCCAAACTTATTTTAACAACGCCATCAAATAATGATTTCTTATATTTATGCGAAATTTCTTATATATATATATACACACACAAACACACACACATATATAAAATTCTCATCTGTGTGTGTGTGTGTGTGTCTGTGTGTGTGTGTGTGTGTGTGTGTGTGAGTGAGTGAGTGAGTGTGTTTGTGTGTGTGTGTATGTGTGTGTGTGTGTGTGTGTGTATGTGTGTGTGTGTGTGTAGTGGCAATGTAAGAATATCCACTATTCTATAACGTCCCGTGGTTGTTGTAAGAGGCGACCAACCAATAGGCAATCCACGGGGAAGGCCTTTTATATCCTGTAATGGATAGCATAATATATATGAAATAAAAATCTGTTTTATAAATTACTAATATTAGAAATGTAAATATGAATTACAAGCTTACAAGATAGAAATGAATTTAGAACAGTTTCCATGTATTATTTAACTTTAACAGTATTATTTCCACTAAGTAAAAATTAGGTTAAGATTATGGATTTTTAATTTCGTTTCGAATCGGGGTGCAAGAGATGAACGACCTACAAGGTTGGGAGATTGTAAGGAATGTGAAAAGCTTATTGATTTGTCTTTATGATTCATACACGCGCATGTGGGATACAAATACAATTGAACATTAAAGCAAGAGCAGTAAAGTATTTTCTGTCGAAAAATAAATAAAAATGCACAACTTTGAAGGTACGTAATCTGAAAATGTTGTAAACAAGGATGGAAAATATTTTATTAGATGGCTCACCTGATGGAAAGTGACTATCGCTGCCCATGAACAACTGCAATGTCAAGGGAATTACATGTACTTTGCCGGCCTTTTAAAAAGGTGTAGGCTTTTTTTGAAGGTCGCTAAGTTAGATTAGTCCGGAAAAAACTGAATATGGTAATAGATTTCAATATATATTACAGGACAATAAGTAATATACTTTTTTCAAGTAAGCTTTATGCTTTTGCAGTAAGGATTATACTTGGCATGTTTGCGATAGCACTAAATAATTCACTTAATACACTCACTGGGCTTGACAACATACAATTTAAAATGATAACAAAGGATAAGAAAATTTTATAGTTCGACATACCTTGGCATGCAACGTTGCCTGACATTTAGGTCCTTCTTAATGCTTTAGTATTCCAGTCTCTTGAGGTCAGCTAGATGTCAAGGAATCTGTCAACGCTTTATCTATTTTGACAAACTTAAGCATTAAATGTTTTTAGGTGTTTAGTTTTTTTTTAATTATTTTGGGGTGCATTAGTTCTGCTGCCTAGTTATTATAATCAGTAAGAGATTAAGAAAAACTGTTATAGAAAAGAAATTGTGTACATCGTCAACAGATGACATGATAGATCTCTTACATTACCAGAATTGGAATAAGGGGCTTAGATTAATTTTTTGACAAACGCGAAAGCCGCTCTTACTGGATGGACTGCCTCATATATGGGAAAAACATCCGAAAAAGAACAAATAATGGCGCAGCGTAATTATTTAGAGAATTAGAGAACATATCTATTCATACAAAACTATTCGTCACAGTGGTGCTGATGTTTTACTTAATAAATTATCCATGTGTACCACGGAGATAAGAGGTACGCCTCCTCTATGTGCCCATGGAATAAGAAAGACGCGGAGCTGCTGTATTTTGATGCCGATTAATATACGACTCTTTGTTTTGGTTAGCTCTTGTACTCACGTTTTAATTTATTCATTAAGTCTGAACCTAGTTGTATCAGAGACGTAACCAATATTTGTGAAAAGACGAACATTATTTGACTTGATTTGTAAAATTAATAATGTTCTATTACATTTCTATTCTAACTTTGCAAGTCTACACTAATGCCTACGATCTAAGTTAATGACTTACAATTTTTTTTAGAAAATAATGTAGTAACAAACAAATGGTATTATTTCAGAAATAAGCCAAAATGGCGACATCGGGAGGGAAGGCGCGGCGGGAGGAGACAAGCGACAACTCCGACGATGAACTTACGCCTCTTGCCAACGAAATTTACGGTGGCAGGTAAATATAATTTAAAAACTTAATGTTAGATTTTATTAAAATTTAGGTTGGTATTCACACATGATGGTCACATTCTTCAGATTTTTTTTATAGGATAGGGTGACAAAGGAGCACTCAGTCCACCTGATGGTAAGTGGTTGCTGTGGCCCATAGACTACATTTATCCTCGTTTGTGAATCAAAATACAGATGCTTTGTCACCCGTGAGGACTAAGATGGAATGCTTCTTTTCCAGTAAGAAGGTATTGTATTGAAATACCTTTAATTTGTATTCCGAAGTTTTAGTGATATAATGATGTTTTTTTTAATATATTTTTAAAATCAGTCAAGTGCGAGAGACGGGCGTCGCTCTATTAGGGTTCCTTACATAACATGACCAATTTACGTTTTTTAAACTAGATATTTCGTTTTTAAGCTAGACATTATAACAACCCGTAAAAAAGTCATTAAAAACGTTTACCTACCCTACAAGCTACATAATGAAACGATTTTTTCAGTATTTATTATTTAAATTTTGGTATTCCTAAGACGCTGGTACCCATTTCTTGATTTGTTTCCCTCTGTCACCTCTTACGACACCCACCGTATGACATGGGGTAGTGGAGTGGATATTCTTACATTACATGGTATTTAATGAACTCAATGAACTCTGGACAACGACCACCCACATCATAGGGTAAGAAAATATTTTGGCTCGTTTTTCATGTTTCGACCCTTCCTGAAAAATTTTAAAATCGAATTGCTAATTAATTATTTTTAATATTTGGTTTTGGGTTAACACTCTGCACTAAGGATGAGTATCTATAAACAGTACTTTGACTTTGCTCAGACTTTACTTTCGAGCTAAGACAATGTCTGTGCGCGCTTAGCAAAGCCTAAGTCAACAATATCGACGACTTACGTAAAACTCAGGATATTAACCAAAACCATCGTATTACTTATAAATTGTTGTTTTTATGTTACTCTAATTATTTATAAGAATAAATCGATAGTTTTAGGCCGTCTTCTAGGTTTTAAATAGCATTACCCCATTTTCTATCCACGTAATCAATATATATAATATAATAATAAATTTCTTAAAATCTTTTTTTTTCTTTTTTTATAATTTTGGACTCATATCATCCGTTCTCGTTTTCTATTTCATGTAACAATAACTTATATATGTAATACAATTTGGACTGTTTTATTTTTTTAAATATTATTATTATTTGGCGCGGCTGATCGATGGACAAGGCTTTTGCTCTACATTTCCAATCCATCTTAAAACGTTAAACATAAATTTCACACTCTTGTTGCCGAACCAAAACGAACCGACCTATAAGTTCGTTTATTCTTTTTATATGAATTATCACGTTTTTATGTATTATTATTTTTATTATGTTCTATGTTTATACACAAAAACTTCTCTAATCACTTACAACTTGGTGTTAATATAAGGTTGCCGTATATCACGTAACTCGCTATATTTAAAAAAAAATCGATGTTATTACAAGCGGATTTAGAAAGGGAATGGGATGTATGGATCAAGTCTTTTCCATGCGCATAATCGACGAGAAGTTTTTGGCCAAACACCAAAAAGTTTTTTGTGCGTTCATATACTTAAAAAAGGCTTATGACAGAGTGGACAGGGATGTGTTATGGCAAATACTAAACTCATTTGGGTTGAGCGCTGGGTTGACACAGGCATTAAAATCTTTTTGTAGGGACTCTAGTGCTTGTGTCAGAATCACGATAATAGAGTAGTTTAGCATCCATAAAGGTGTCAGACAGGGTTGTGTGGCTTCCCCGTGGCTGTTCAACCTATTTATGGACGGTTGTTTGGAAATTTTGAAAGTGGAAGAATGTGGGTTATGTCAGTTAACCGTCATGCACCTTTTGTACGCCCATGATCAAGTCATATTTATGTCGTTGGCGGCCGAGTTACATATGGTGGTTACATTAATGAACCGGTTATTAAAAGAAAAGGGAATGAAAGTGAACGCAAATAAGATGAAAGTTATGGTTTTTGAAAGAGAAGAAAGTAAAGCGATATGTGAAATAAGAATAGAAGGGGAGTTGGTCCGTACTTTAACGTATGGTAGTGAAAGTTGGGTGTGACAGAAGAAGCACGAGAGTAGAATAAATGCTGTAGAAATGCGGTCATTAAGGAGTATGTTAGGGTTGAATCTGAATGACAGGGTGAGAAATTTTGTGATAAAAGAAGAGTGTGGTTTACAAGACGATGTTATGACCAGGATTAAGAAAGGAATGCTTCGGTGGTTTGGTCATGTGGAAAGAATGGATGAGGAAAGAGTGACAAAGCAAATTTATTTGCAGAAGTGAACGGTAGAGTCGGGAAGGGATACTCTAGGCGAAAGTTTATCGATCTCCTCCTTTTTGAAGTCGGTTAACAATTAGTAATAGAAAGAGCGCCGCCACGCCTGTGCGTTTTGGAGGATTTCAGATAACCTCAATTTTTTTAAATTTCTCAGATATACAGGAAACAGGAAATATAAATGTTTTATCTCACTTCACGACGAATAGCTGTTCTGCGTTTACTTTCCGTTCTGATGGTACTCGATAATATTTTTTGATTCTTAGGTTTACGCACCCAAAAACAATGTGCATGTGCATCTACACTACAAGTAAGAGCAACCCGCTATCCTGAGATAAACTCAATACACCGCCAAGCATATAGTAAATATATAATAAATATATAGTAAATAGCACTTAAAATTGCGATTAACAATTTCAAAGGTTCAATTTCTCGCACGTTACAATATTTTGTACCAGCACAATTATATCGGTAATAAATTTCGGTAAAAAATACATTCGTAATGAGCTACCACAGTTCTACGAATAAATGTGAATAATAATCCAATAAAACGTGATAATATAAAAATAATAAATGAAGAACTTAGTGTGCAGCTTAGAGGTCGGTTTGCTGTTGTTCGGTCACCGCTGCCCGGAACCCGCTTAAATGCCAAGGTTGTCAACTCTGACGACACAACTTTCGATCAATCGTGTGCGCCACATTTTTGCGCCCCACTTTGTTCTTTGTGGAATCAGAAATAAATATCGACACTAACGCTTATTCTCTTGTATTAAAGTTAACTTTAAATGTGGAATTATTATCAAAAACAACTCGTAAAATATTTGTGTAAAAGATGTAAACTTTGTAGAAACTTACGGTATTTACGTGGCAATGCTTTAAAATTATGTTACTATAAGACTTGGTGTATTTTGTTGTGTTATATACATATCTTTAGATAATAATAAACATGATTCTCAGCTGACTATATATTAAAACCAGATATCCAACATTGAATAAAATATGTAATATCCACCAACTGCTACATGATACCTACGAAACGTCGAGCGCCGTAGGTCGGGCATGATCTGAATATTAGATTTCAACGAGTTTGGCCTAGTACTAGCAGGCTAGTATTTTCTCTCTTTCGCATCTTTCATCTTTGTCTATTTTTTTATAATTTTAAAAGAATGCTTTATAGGATTTCATCCTAATAATATAATAAAATATTTGTTTTAATGCGCATGTCAATGAGGAAATTTGTTGCGCCTCAAACTGTTATGGTCATTGACCGTGGCACCCAATTTGGAAATTATGGTTTGCATACTAACGTTTTACAGTACGCCACGTACATTTTTTTAAATAGAAACGTTTTTAATTGTATTTTTTTAAATAAATTGTTTAAGGATTTGATGAAATAGCTTGTTATAATAGAAGCCAGCACAAATTTAGGAAAGGAAAAAATTAATTTGACACCGAAAATAAAGAAATCAGAACTATTTTAAATTTCAATTAGAATTATTTTAAATTTAAATTAACCGTCTAGTGGGGGCGTAAGACAATCCACTACTCCAGATCATCCCGTGGGTGTCGTTGACAGACCAAAACGAAACATAAGATGGCCAGCAGTATCATCCTGATAACAACTTGGAATAATAAAAAAAACTGCGGATGCCAAAACACCTGCCAAGCATTGGGTGCTTATGCTCAGTAGTTGACTGTTGATAGGCTGTAATGCATAGATGGAATTATTTTTTACAAGAAAATGTAGAAGTTTCTTTTTTTTTCTTTTTATAGGATAAGGGTGACAAACGAGCACACAGTTCACCTGTTGGTAAGTGGTTGCTGCGGCCCATAGACATCTACATCTATCCTCTATTACAAATTAAAATGCAGATGCGTTGTTACCCGTGAGGACTAAGATGGAAGCCCTCATTTCCAGTAAAAAGGGTCTCCGGTGCTCTACACTCACCATACGAAACACAGCAGCGTTAAGCTGCTATTTTACATTGGTATTCTGTGAGAGCGTGGCCCTTCTCCGGTTGAGCCGACCCATTCATGCTATAACTATACTACTAATATAGCTGTAGCATGGCTCTACCACGTAACATTCTTGTTATAAGAATAATCAAAACCTTTCACAAGCTTCGTGAACTCGTATAACATTGGCTGGTTTCATCTATTGTTGCAAAATAATTTGGTGCAAACTGCCTGAGGTGTATTGTCGTCTATAAACTCTAGCTAAATCGTGATCGTTGAAGGCCATTCTATTTGTCTACATATCTTGCAGATTGTGTTTAAATTGTATCTTATATACGGGTATGAGAATAACAGTGATACACAATAATGCAAATACTCTCGGCAATATTAAAAATTTTTTGGTGTGTTTAAATGTCAGCTTGTGGGAGATTAGAATGGATCTCAGCATCTTAAAAACGCCAGGTCTCTGGTGAGAATGGCAATACAATAATAGAGAAAATCCTTCAGAAGCTCTTCAGTTTCTGATCTTCAGATCTGTGTTGAGAAAGTTTTTGATTCCGTTGATATTTGAACGGTACTACAGTTTTTTCAGCAATACCAAATCGACTGTCGGTATATCGAAGTGCTGAAGTTTTTAAACAGAAGGGCTACGAGAGCTAGCCGAGTACAGGACCAGCTAACGTAGCCAATTGCAGAGGGCTTTAAGACACATGATGATAATTACATCGTCG